AGATTCTCACAGACGACTTTACGAATAAATCCGACGGCCAAAAATCCAAGCCGCTGAACATCGTTATCAAGATCGCCACCGCTAACGGCCGCCCCGCCGTCAAGCTAAGCGACAACATGGGCAAGAACACAGGTGACAAGGAGACCGTACAAAGTGTCAAGAAGAAGCTTGGCTACATTGAGCACCAATGGGAAGAGGGCGATGAAAGCAACCGCTGGGCTCGCAAGTAGTGCGAGTCATCGACCAACCATATTCATTGATCTCATATCTATAGTCAGTTAAGACGCAAGTCATCTAGATTCAATTTCCAACGATTTCCAGCTCGCATATATGGTGGCTAATGTACAGGGCGAGCGATGAGTCTTTTATTTATTTTTTCCGAGTCATGTTAAGCATTGTTTCATAGTTAGTCACTATGAGTACTACTGGTACTATCTAGACTATATGAGAAGAGGGTTAGAAATGTTCAATGGTATTCACCTAGTAGTAGTAGTACTAATAAGTAGTGTACCATTCCTCATTTATAAGTCTCAATACTATGACTTACTAGTACTAGTAATTGGGACTGAACTGCCTGAGGGCAAGCACCGAAGATATATTTACAGGGCGCGTCTATCCGTACGCACGCACCACTTCCGCGACTTAAATAAACTATTTATATATATTTACACTGAACACAAAACCACCCCACCACACCACACCACATCCAAATAACAAAAACCTAAAACATCTCCTCATCAGACGGAACAAACCCCAAATCCCTATCCAAATCCCCCGTAATATCCCCAGTCACATGGCTCATAGACCTCTGCCCGGGCGTACTGACAACATTATGAGTCGGCGCAAACGGCGAGAACAAATCATTGTTATTGGTTAATGCGTCCTCCGGACCAGGTCCAGTCCATCTGAGGAGCTCGCTGGCCCAATCGATGTCGAGGTCTGGGGAGGCGTCGGGGTTGGAAGTAGTAGAGGTGGGGTTGAGGTTGGTGGGTGGTTGGGGTTGGGGCGGGAAGTCGGCGGCGAAGGAGTCGAGGTCGAGGTCGAAGTCGAAGGGGAATTGGTCGGAGGGTTGGTCGAAGGTGGGATTGGGTTGGGGATGGGTGTTTCGGGGGGAGATGGTGGGGTTGTTGTTGTTGTCGTTGAGGAAGTTGGATATGGGGTCGTCGTCGAAGTCGTTGGGTGGGGTGGGTTCGGCTTGTTTGGGGAGGGGGTTGGTGGGATGGTTTATGTTGGTGGTGGTGGTAGAGTTGCTGTTGAACATTGGGGGTGGGTTGATTGTGCTGCTGTGGCGTTTGGGTGGTGTGCGCTGCTGTTGTAGTTGTTGCTTGGTTGGACTGGCTGAATGATGAGGTCCGGGTTGTTTGTGGTTGTTGGTTGGGTCGGGGTCGTCTCGGGGAGGCGTCCAGTGGTTAGAGGTTCGGTCTTCTGCTGATGCTATGGTGTGCGGGTTTGAGATGGTGCTGTGCTTTCGTGCTTGTTCTGGTGACTGGCCTTGTGGTATAGAACCGGAGTTGTTGGTATATTGCATGATTCGGAGGAAGGTGTTTGCGCTGTCCGACTGGAGCTTAACTGCCGCTTCGATGTTTGCGACCTCCATGTCTGCTGCAGGGTAGATGTCTCTAAGGCCTTGCAGCACTTGGATGCAGCGCTGAAAGTTGTAGATGCTGGATTCTCGGGTGGCGGGATTGCCAGATGAGGAGTTTGCCAGATGGGCCACAGCGGCTGGGATGATGACAGTCACACCGGATTGGGGGAGGAATCGCGTGAGGTTTAGCTGATTGAGACCTTGGATGATATGTGTGATACCGACTGCGGCGTCATGCATCTTTGTTTGCGCAGTTTGAATTAACTCCCTGCGTGCTTTGGACTGATCCTTGTTGGGCGTGAAGGCCCAAGGACGATGCAGCGCGCTTGTGGTCGCATGATACAGCATTCGTACCATGGCACCGTGGAGAAGAAGGACGTCTTCTCCATCGTGGAAGTTTGTCCTTGATGCAGGAATGAATTGTGCGTCTTTGGGTAGTGCACTCAACCAGGATTCCAACCGCTGACTGCATCGTGCTAACTCCGATTCTGATGCCTGTCGAGGAATTAGGCTGATGGTAGTTCGTGTTGTCACACCAAATTGACACTGTGATGGGGTATACTGAGCGAACAAAACCCGTCCGATGCATTGGCATAGTTTAGCCTTTTCGATGAACATGGTTGCCAGACGCTTTTGGTGAGTAACATCTTCCAGCTGACGACAGCGGAACTTCTCAATCACGCTAGGGTGGAACGGCTCGAAGTCAAAGTCTTCGAGCTTCAACATGGGGACATTGCTTGTCCCTTCGTTCACCTGGGTCGGGCGTCTTAGCCCCATCGCAATGAGACGGTCTCGCGAGTACAAGCTCCACCAAATTCGGGTCCTCAGCCTTTTAATCCTCGGGTCCATATCGGTCGATGATGAAGGGTCTCTATTTAATCCGATCGAATGTGCATGTATATTGCAGACACCAATCCAGTCCCAGATATCTCTTTGCGGATTATTTTGATGGTCAGACCAATAAGTCATAAGTAGTAGAGTTTGCAGTATGACTATACGATCATCTTCGCAGTCAAGTGAATAGAGGAGCTATATTGACTGGTTAGCTAAAGACACGGATGAACTATCAAGCGAGACATACCCTTAATCGCGTAAAGAAAACATTACGGGCAATTTTCCGAGTGGCATACCCAGCGGCCTGCAAATGATGCAGATCGATGAAGGCTGTCGCCACGAACATGACTGCTTGAAACAGCAGGAGACTAATATTACCGTTGGGGTCATTTTCCGCGACGCATCGGAGGAATTCCTGTAGATTCAAGACCGGCATGAAGCTATGCACCCATTTGATATAGCATCGCAGCAGCTCATTCCGCAGACCGCTCTCTGGAATCGACAAAGCCTCCCGAAAACGCAAGAATTCTAGGTCTTCCGGCGGTATGCGAGACGGGAGAGGCTTTAAGAAGCGCGGTTCATCGTCCAGAAGAGCAATAAGAGGGTCGAAATCAGGGTCAATGAGATCCCGCACAGTCGAGACCATATTTTCTAGAGGCAGCGAAGTCCGTACCCCACGATCTCCCAGAGTCCGCCAGCCCCGAGAAGGTCTGGAGTCTTGCAACCAAGGCGCATGAGCATTGTGGCTCAGGCTGTTACTTCTCTTCGCCACGGGTCTATCATCTCCCAAGTCCGCACTTGACGGCTTGCGCTTGGCGGTCAACATGCTAGTAAAAAAGCAAAGCCAACGGCATTGGCAGCTGTGCAGGAGATCACATTCAGCATGAGAGGGTCGGAAGTTAGCAGTTGCCTATCGTTGCCGTGTCTTCCGTCCGGGGTTGGTTGGTAATAGACAGCCATGGACTGTCTTCCCCCCAGCACTAAAGAAGGCGGTGTTCGGGACCCGGCCGGATGTGGGGACTATTGCGGGCTTCCCCGCCAATTTGATAACCTATGAGAGATGCTAGCCGCTTAAATAAGCGCTGTTATAGGAGAGAGTTTATTCGCTGATACGCTGGATTGTTGGGTACTATTGAGTGGAGCGATGTTGAATGGAAGATACTCGCTGTCCAGAACTTCGTCTTAGCGCCCGCGGCGGTCATATTGCCATCTTGATGCCTCAGGCATTTGACTGCTCACTGGTGTTGTTTCTTCAGACTAAAAACATTCAACAGGGCGACTATAAGTCTTGGCATTACCATTTCATAGCATTGCATTCTGCAGAAAAGAGGAGCCCACCTCACCGGCGAATGATTGCTGAATATCTCATCAATTGATATATCTGGCTTAAGACTACATTTTTGTTCGACTCCTATCACGAGCAAGTCCGTCATTCAAAAGCCATAACTACACATTGGAACCACCGCTACTGACTGTTCAATTGACACTCATGGTCCGATTCACAGATGTGACCATCTACAAAAGCCCTGAGTTACCTGACCAGTGATGAGATATGAAGAGATAAGACAGCCACAGAGCAGAAGCCCTGTAAAGCATATGTAATTATGCGGAGGAGAGACCGGGAAATGTTCCGGAGATCATATCTATTCCAACGCCACATAATGTTGATCCTTCACGGACCCGATGACAAGCCTAGCCACATAACGTTGAAGCCCATATATGCCCATGAAGCACACAGTATAATACACGTATTCATTAGAATCGAATTCAGAGAAAGAAGTAGGAAATTTTGTCCGCGTATCGTGGTCGACATCGACAACCCTTCGAGACAGCTGATAATTTCATATCACAGGGACATGCAGACGAACATGCGAAGATCCGTTTACATACTTCTTCCGTCAGTAATAGTTTCTCGATTGCCGAAATTCATTCCAGTGACTGCGATGGATGGGATCGAGTCTCGACTTACGGAGGAAGGAGGAGCTCGCTGAGGCTGCTGTAGAGGAAAGCGACGCCGGCCTGTACACACATTGGTATTAGATCATCCTTGATATTGTACAGCCTGTACAGATCTCGCCAGGATTGTTGAACTTACGCCGAAGACCAGAACGCTTCTCACAATGGTAGCATTCTCGGGGTGGGTGACTTCGTCATAGGCAGTGCTGAAGAAGCTCTTCTGCTGACGGCCAGAGACGACACGCTGTCTGGGAACCATTTTGAAGATGTATTAAAGATGTAGGATAGGTGATGTCCTTGAGATAAAAAGGTGTATTGACAGCGAGAATGACGATGGTCGATGGCAGGGTGAGGCCGGGAATGATGAGAACTCCGAGAAATCTTTCGGTCCTTGGCGGCTGCACTTTTAGCTTATCGCGGTTCCCGTATCTTCTTCGGACCTGCTGCGCGACCAGTTGATCGAAAAGAGGTCCGCAAGAAGGGATCTATAACAATCAATTCATAGGCGATATTTCCTCTGCAGAGTCGCCTTTCTCTGCTCTATTGGCCCTTATTTGAATCCGTGTTGGTGGTTGGGTCTGAAGTGCTTTTCCGCTCTGCCTCTCCAGCTGCGCAAGCCGCAACCATGACGAGCATCGATGAGCTCTTCAAGGTAAACTATCTATGAAGTGACTTGTTATAATAGCGCTGACAATCTAGAAACCCTCCTCGGCAGCAAGTGCCAAGCGCAAACTAGATTCCGCGAAAGACCCGAGTGCGTTCATCTCCTTCACGTCCAACTTGACTTGACAGCGGCTGACTTGCGACCAAGACGAGCTCTACAAAGCTGCTAAACTAGATGCGGATGGTGATGTGAAATCAAAAGGAAAGGCGCCCATGGTAGAGGATGAGGGCGACGAGGATGATGGCTACGCGGGTCCTGAACTACCTCCCGATTTCGACGCCGAGGATATCCCAGATGACGAAGAAGGACGCTTCTTCGGCGGCGGCATGGAGCGTCAAACGGCGGAGGCTATGCAATATATTGATCAACACGAGGAAGCAGATGTTGCGGTAAGGAATTGTTATTCGCTGTGCTCCGTGGGCTCGTTTGCTGAAGTAGCTATAGCCAGAGAAGTTCGACGTTACCTGGCTGCGACGTTTCGCCCTCAACTTCGAAAAGAAGATCTCGAAGAACGCCGAATTGCGCGGAAAGTTTGAAAATGATCCTCAAAAGTACGGTTCGCAAGGTAGATACTGATATGAACAATTATGCTGATATACCTAGATTCATGGCCTCGGAAGCAGATCTCGATACCGAAATCAAGAGCCTCTCCATCCTCTCCGAGAATTCATATTTATATAGCGAATTCGCAAAGCTGGGCTGTGTAGGCTCGCTTATGTCGCTGCTTTCACACGAGAATGCCGATATTGCAATTGATGTGATCCAGATCATTGGCGAGTTGACGGATGAAGATGTGGAGGCCGATCAAGAACAATGGGACAGTTTGGTGAACGCAATGGTATACTACTTCCGAGCTCTGCTTGAATGAATACTTACTAGTCTAGTTGGATGCCGAACTTATCGAGCTCTTGGCACAAAACCTTTCGCGACTTGACGAAGGATCCGAGGTCGACAGGGCAGGCGTGTACTACGTACTAAGTGAGTTATCCCGGATAAAGTACGCGACAGGTATACTGATTACATTGTAGACGTCTTGGAAAACATTGCTTCGCAAACGTTCATCGCAGAGAAGATAGGGCAAGACCCCAACCTGTTATCTTGGCTTATCGCTCGTATACAGAAGAAGGAAAGGCCAGTGGCTCAAAACCAGCAATATGCAGCAGAAATACTTGCCATTCTGCTACAATCAACTCCCAAGAACAGGGAGAAGGTCGTCAGCCTGGATGGTGTTGAGATTCTCCTGCAATTGCTTAGTGCATACCGCAAGCGTGATCCCGAAAAAGATTCCGACGAAGAGGAATATGTGGAGAACTTGTTTGGCAGCTTGAACTACCTTGTGAACGAGGATTACGGCAAGGAAAAATTCCTGGAAGCTGAAGGTGTTGAGCTTGCGCAAATCATGTTGAAGGAGGGCAAGTTCAGCAAGCAACGGGCTCTACGACTCCTGGACCATGCCCTAGGAGGCATGGCAGGCGCTCCTGCATGTGAACGCTTTGTTGAAGCAGCATGCTTGAGTACAGTATTTGGGATGTTCAAAAAGAAGGTATGTGTCACCGATATCATAGAATATGGGCTAGAGCTAAACCCCTATAGCAAGACAATGAAACGACGGAGCATCTGCTGGGCATTTTCGCTTCGCTGCTGCGCTTACTTCCGGGCGGTTCCGCACCACGGATTCGTACACTAGCCAAGTTTATGGAGAAGGACTACGAGAAGATCGAAAAGCTCATCAAGTTGCGCCGGGAGTATGCCCAACGAGTGACACCGGTCGAGCAAGCTATCGAGAAAGAACGAAAGAACTTCACGGAAGAGGAACAAGAGATCATGGCGGCCGAGTGGCTGTCCAGGCGATTCGATGCCGGTCTATTTTCTTTACAGGTTTGCTCTCCGGAATACCCCGTTGCTGCAGTACAAACTAACAGTACCCAAAGCTTATTGATGTCATTTTGGCCTGGTTGGTGGCCGAAGATGACGGGGCAAAAAAGAAGATTGTGTCCCTTCTGGCTGACCGCGACGAAGATTTGTCACTGATTAGACGAACCTTACAGGGTAAGTTCTGGCCCCTACGCCTTCTATACCGTCTGGATCTTGTGCTAAATGAATGAACAGAGCAAATGGAAGGGCTCTCTGAGGATGAGCCCGGCGAGAAGGATAGTAAGGAGATGCTGGAAACGCTTCTACAGTTCCTGTAATCATTGTGTATAATAACATATCGCGTACCATACTGCGCCAATTCTTGTCATTGATTCCTTTCGTAAATGTTCACAGTAATAGTTAATAATGTGAGTAAAAAGTGAAGTATTACCAGCAGCGTGAATTGTTTCACATATCACGTGATTTACTAATCAGGACTAGCTCACAGCTTAGCGCCAGAAGGCGGTCGAGGCTAGTGGCGGCTCTTTCCAAGGCAAGATCCATCAGCGCCCGGAGAGAGTCGAAGCACCCCAGCTGCTCCCTTCACCAGCATCACCGGTGGCCTGGGATCTCTCTTTCTTCCATCCATCTGAGGCTTCCGGCTTATTGGCCTCACCTGTCACATCCAGGACGATTGCTTCGCTGCATTCTACTTACGCCAGTCGTCCAACAACCTCGAGTGGGATCTTTTCCGCCGAGCGCGTCGCGCCCTTTGCGCTCATTGTCCTATCGACAGCGGTTTTTCATTGCGTTTACGACCCATATCCGCCAAGATGGCCGACTACGAAGATGCTTACGAGGATGAGTACTACGACGATATGGACGAGGGCATCACCTCGGAGGATTGCTGGACGGTCATTTCGTCCTTCTTCGACACCAAGGGTCTAGTGTCACAACAGCTGGACTCTTTTGATGAATTTATCTCCTCGACAATGCAGGAGCTGGTGGAGGAACAAGGCCAAGTAACACTCGACCAAACTCTCCCTCCCTCCGAAGATGAAGTCGATCCCGTGGTTGTCCGCCGATACGAGCTGAAGTTTGGAACCGTCATGCTCTCTCGACCGTCCGTGACTGAGGGTGATGGTGCGACCACTATCATGTTGCCCCAGGAGGCTCGCCTGCGTAATCTTACATACGCTAGTCCCCTTTATCTCGGTGTTACGAAGAAGATCATGGAAGGTCGTGAACGTCTGGTCGCGGACCGAGATGAGGATGATATGGGTGAATCGAATGAGGATAGAAAAGCTCACGGGACTTACCTGCAGTGGGAGCAGAAGGAGCTGCCTGCTGACCAGGCGAAGGAGGAGACCGTTTTCATTGGAAAGATGCCAATCATGCTCAAGTCCAAGTACTGTATCCTCAAGGATTTGAGCGAGCAAGCTCTTTACAACTGGAACGAGTGCCCTTACGACTCTGGTGGTTATTTCATTATCAACGGAAGTGAAAAGGTGTTGATCGCCCAAGAGCGCAGTGCTGGAAACACGGTTCAAGTCTTCAAGAAGGCACCGCCTAGTCCCACGCCCTATGTCGCGGAAATTCGGAGTGCTGTCGAGAAGGGATCACGACTTCTTTCTCAGTTGTCCCTGAAGCTGTTTGCCAAGGGTGACAGTGCCAAGGGTGGATTTGGTCCTACAATTCGGTCGACCTTGCCTTACGTGAAGACCGACATCCCCATCGTCGTCGTTTTCAGAGCCCTCGGTGTGGTTTCTGATGAAGATATTCTGAACCACATTTGCTACGACCGGAATGACACACCGATGTTGGAGATGCTGAAGCCTTGTATTGAGGAAGGTTTCGTTATCCAGGACCGTGAGGTGGCGCTGGATTTCATTGCCAAGCGTGGTTCTTCTCAGTCTAGTATGAACCACGAGCGTCGTGTCAGATACGCACGCGAAATCATGCAAAAGGAGTTCCTTCCCCACATTTCTCAGAGCGAAGGTAGTGAGACCCGGAAAGCCTTCTTCTTGGGTTACATGGTGCACAGACTTCTGCAGTGTGCCTTGGGCCGTCGTGATGTCGATGATCGTGATCACTTCGGTAAGAAGCGTCTCGACTTGGCTGGTCCTCTTCTTGCAAACCTCTTCCGAGTTCTGTTCACTCGTGTCACCCGTGACCTTCAGCGGTACGTGCAAAGATGCGTGGAGACGAACAGGGAGATCTACTTGAACATTGGTATCAAGGCCAGCACCTTGACAGGAGGTCTGAAGTACGCTCTTGCTACGGGTAACTGGGGAGAGCAGAAGAAGGCAGCCAGCGCCAAGGCTGGTGTATCTCAAGTGCTCAGTCGTTATACCTACGCCTCTACGTTGTCCCACCTTCGTCGTACCAATACACCAATTGGTCGAGACGGTAAGATCGCCAAACCTCGTCAGCTCCACAACACCCATTGGGGTCTGGTTTGTCCGGCTGAAACCCCTGAAGGTCAGGCTTGTGGTCTGGTCAAGAACTTGGCGCTCATGTGCTACATCACTGTTGGTACGCCTAGTGAGCCCATTATTGATTTCATGATTCAACGCAACATGGAAGTACTCGAAGAATTCGAGCCGCAGGTGACGCCAAATGCGACCAAGGTGTTTGTCAACGGTGTTTGGGTGGGTATCCATAGAGATCCTGCGCATCTGGTGAACACCATGCTCTCTCTCCGTCGCCGGAACATGATCTCGCACGAGGTCAGTTTGATTCGTGATATTCGTGAGCGAGAGTTCAAGATCTTTACCGATGCTGGACGCGTGTGTCGGCCACTGTACGTCGTCGACAATGATCCCAAGAGCGAGAACTGTGGTTCACTGGTGCTCAACAAGGAGCACATCCGCAAACTGGAGCAAGACAAGGACTTGCCCCCCGATCTGGATCCAGAAGACCGCAGGGAGCGCTACTTTGGTTGGGATGGTTTGGTGAAGTCTGGTGTCGTTGAGTACGTCGACGCCGAGGAAGAAGAGACAATCATGATTGTGATGACACCAGAGGACCTGGAGATCTCGAAGCAACTTCAGGCCGGTTATGCCCTTCCCGAGGAAGAGCTGCACGATCCCAACAAGCGTGTGCGTTCTATTCTGAGTCAAAAGGCACACACATGGACACACTGCGAGATTCACCCCAGTATGATCCTGGGTGTTTGCGCCAGTATCATTCCTTTCCCCGACCACAACCAGTCTCCTCGTAACACCTACCAGTCTGCCATGGGTAAACAAGCTATGGGTGTGTTCCTGACGAACTTTGACCAGCGCATGGAAACCATGGCCAACATTCTGTACTACCCGCAGAAGCCTTTGGCGACAACACGGTCTATGGAATTCTTGCGGTTCCGTGAACTGCCTGCCGGCCAGAACGCCATTGTTGCCATTGCCTGTTATTCCGGTTACAACCAGGAAGATTCGGTTATTATGAACCAGAGCAGCATTGACCGTGGTCTTTTCCGCAGTCTGTTCTACCGTACATACACGGACAGCGAGAAGATGGTCGGACTGACAGTTGTCGAACGCTTCGAGAAGCCTATGAGATCGGACACGATCGGTATGAGAAAGGGTACCTACGACAAGCTCGATGAAGACGGTATCATTGCTCCTGGTGTCCGTGTATCCGGTGAGGATATCATCATCGGTAAGACGGCACCCTTGGCACCTGAAGCAGAGGAGCTCGGTCAACGTACCAAGGCCCACACCAAGTTGGATGTGTCGACTCCTCTCAGAAGTACGGAGAACGGTATTGTAGACCAGGTCCTGGTGTCTACGAGCAACGATGACCTGAAGTTCGTGAAGGTGCGCATGAGGACGACCAAGATTCCCCAGATTGGAGACAAGTTCGCCTCTCGTCACGGACAAAAGGGTACCATCGGTATCACTTACCGTCAGGAAGACATGCCTTTCACTCGGGAGGGTGTGTGCCCTGACTTGATCATCAACCCTCATGCCATTCCCTCCCGTATGACAATCGCGCACTTGATCGAGTGTCAGCTCAGTAAAGTGTCGTCGCTACGTGGGTTCGAGGGTGACGCGACGCCTTTCACGGACGTTACGGTCGACTCGATCTCCCGTCTCCTGCGGGAGCACGGATACCAATCCCGTGGCTTTGAGGTGATGTACAACGGACACACTGGACGCAAGCTGGTTGCGCAGGTCTTCCTGGGACCGACGTACTACCAGCGTCTGCGCCACATGGTCGACGATAAGATTCACGCCCGTGCGCGTGGACCGACTCAGATCTTGACGCGACAGCCGGTGGAAGGTCGTGCTCGTGACGGTGGTCTCCGTTTCGGAGAGATGGAACGCGATTGTATGATTGCGCACGGAGCCAGTGCATTCCTGAAGGAGCGGTTGTTCGACGTGTCCGATCCCTTCCGGGTGCACATCTGCGACGACTGTGGCTTGATGACCCCTGTTGCGTAAGTGGAGAGACATCCTTGAATTTGCCTGACGATATGAGCTAACGATGATGGAATGACAGTAAACTGAAGAAGGGACTCTTCGAGTGTCGACTGTGTAACAACAAGCACCGAATCTCCCAGGTGCATATTCCGTATGCAGCCAAGCTTCTGTTCCAAGAGCTGGCCTCGATGAACATTGCCGCTCGCATGTTTACCAACCGGTCTGGCGTGTCCGTGCGGTGAGGGGGAGGAAAGATGACTACCCGTGTACATCAGATTCTTCTCTTCTGTGGTATCTCTTCCGTCTTCTGGTGTTTCTATGCCTTTTGTTCTTTCTCCCTCTCCGTTTCCTTTCCCCCACTGTTTTCTTTCCTAATAATTCTCCACCCCCCAAAACGTGTGATATCAACCGAAGACCAGACCGATTCGGCATTTTCCGGCGTACAGAGGACCAGAGGTTTATGATTTTGATTCGAGCTTCTATATATTGTTATTTATTTTTTTTCTCCTCCCTTCTTTCCTCTTTTTGCTGACCATGGTTGGAGGAATGGCTGGTGTAAGCAGCGATGTACTTGGATGACGATGATTTGTCCCTACAGAATCGAATCGAAATTGGATCTAGAGAAGCAGACGAAGAAGAGGGGTAAAAAGATGTCATGGCAATTCTGCACGTAAGAGCCGGCCATGACAGGGTCCTAATTGGGGCAGATGCTGCATGGTGTAATTGTAGTGGAGAGTCAGTGGAGAGAGTGTAGAGTGTGTAGAGTCACTATAGTGGTGTTCTTGCTTCTCTCAGTGGTGGGATCGTGTCCAACCCCCTCTCCTCAATCCCGTGCACGAACTTTAAAATTCCTCGGTGCTGCAGAATGGAGATGTCGGTGACAGGCCGTCTCCCTTCTTGTGTGAGTGCGATTGGCTGGCGAGGTTTCTATTGATAGGTGGGATGGCTCGGGAGAATGTGCTCGTGGAGGGCGGCAAGGGAAGAAAAGCATGGCGATGGAGATGGAGGGGAGATGGAGGGTCGATGGATGGGCGAGTCGTGAGAATGGTTGGTTGTCTGCTGCAGGCCCGGCTGCCCTTGAAGCCAATGAAACCAACGAATTACCCGCCGGCTGGGATGGCGAGAGGACGAAGCGGGGATTTGACTGGCGAAGAGCTGCTCTCGCTCTTCCCAGAATAGAAGATGGCGGGTGACAATCCCATCACACGCATTACACTAACTGAGTAGTTGACTCTACTACCGGGCTCTCTCGTCTGCTCGTTTCCCTCCCCCCCGGCGCTCTCTTAAAAGGCTGCTGTAGCCGCCAGGGCGTTCTCTGCCCTTTCTTCTCTTTCTTTCTTCAGCAAGCTTGCTTGTCTGACTGCCCGTGGTTTAGAAGTATCCCCCCTGTGCACTGGCTGCACTGGTTTTTTGTTTGTTTGTCTATTCGTCGCTTGTTATACTAACATCTTAATTATTCCCCTTACCTCTTTTACTATCAATATATCAAAAAATCCCCCCACCAATTCCCCCTCAACTCTGCCCCATTCAATACACGAGCTGTGCTCTGTGTAATGCTTGATTGCTTTTATTGCATCTTGTTCGGATACTTCTAAACCATTCAACCTCGTGACGGTTCATTTCGTTGTCGCCGGTCGACTTCTCGTGTTCTTGTCATATCAGCTCAGACGACTTGCTGGCCTTGTCCTTTATTCTTTCCAACAACATCATCTATCTAATATTCCTGGTTGCGTGTCAAGGACTGGATCCTGTCAAGCAAAGCCTCGTTGTTATACATTTGCACAGCCAACCAACCAACCCAACACAAGGCTAGACGTGAATCGACTCTGGTAGTCCCTTCCATCTCGGCCTTTTTATAACGACGACTCACTTCCCGCCATTGACACGATTACTTTTAACCATTACGCCTTCATTCTGCTGCATATAATCTAATTCTTAGTATAACCTGGTCAATCTCTCTCAACATGTCTGCTGTTCAGCTCAAGTTCTCGCTGCGCACCTCCTCCAATGTCAAGACCGTCCATCTGGTCGGCTCCTGGGACAACTACTCTCGTCAGATCCCCCTTTCCCGGGATGATGTCAAGCCAGGCGCATGGACTGGCAAGTTCCGCTTCCAGACCTCCATGCTGAAGCTGGGTGGCCGCTACTGGTACTACGTATGTGACTCCCGTTGACTCGAATGGCCCAGAAGCTAACTAACCCTGCCGCAGTACATCATGGATGGTTACCATGTCTCTCATGATCCCGCTGTTGAGTACACGGTCGAGCCCACCACCGGCCGCAAGTTGAACATCCTCGATGTTCCCGGTGGCAAGAAGTCTTCCCAGCCCGCCCCCAAGCACCACCGGGGCTCCACAGACTTCGTCAAGGGTCGTGCTCCTTCTCCGTCCAAGATCCACCACCCCAAGCCGTCCAAGCCCTATGCTTCCCGTCAAATCCGGGAGACGGACTTTGCCCCCACCATGGAAGACCTCACCATGCGGTTTGCCGACTCCCGTCTGTCGGACGAGTACTCGCTCTCCAACAGCCCGCCCAGCTCGGTTGGTTCATCCCTGTCGTCTCGCTCATCCGGCAGCACTTCCCCATCTTCCCTGTCGTCCATGAGTGACCCACCCACCCCGATCTGCCACTGCGAGCGCTACGGAATTACTCGCAAGGGCGACCGGGTCAAGCTCGACTGTGGCGGCAGCCGATGCGGCTATGTTACCGAGTCGTCTGAGGCTAGCTGCTCCGAGTCCGACAGTGATGAGGAGTACCGCCGTGCCCGCAGCGGTGTCCGTCGTCAAGGCATCGTGGTGCGCAGGTAAATCATAACAACTTGTTGGTGCTTTTACCCTGCTTTGATCAATTTTGAACACCCCTCATGGGAGTCGCTTCCCGCGTCGAAAGACCGAACACGCCGTGCATTGGATGTCCCTCCTCTTTGCATCAGAGAGGATAGTCACTCCTTTGGCAGTAACCTGCCGCGCCAATTGAAGTCGCTTGAGCATAAATGCTACGAAAGCAATTTAAAAAAAGAAAACCAAGAAAAAAAAAAGAACCGGCCACCTGGATCATGGCAATCTGCCATGAAGGAGCCAGATGCGCCACGCGGAGGAGATGGGATAGTTGAAGATATGGGAAGGAATATGGAAAAAAAGACAAGGACCACTCTATACTGGGAACTGATGGTATAGCCAGGTGGATGAAGGATGAAATGAAATGAGCGACGTCGAGGTCATGTTAGCTACGTTGTTCAGATAGGAAACGAATGATGAGTGATGACTTGCCTATCCCTAGCCTGTAGCCAACACAAAACCACTATATTGCTTCCTATAATAGCTATCCGCTAGCAGTATGTAGTTAAAGTGAGATGCTCGGCAGCAATAGCCGGGAGAGAACTTCACCTCGTGGATTAAATCCGTCGGAAAGTCCAAGCTTTCCCCCGCAATCGGATATCCCGAGCACCGAGACCTACTTTAAAATCTGGGGCAGTCCTCGAACTACATCTCTTCTCTGATACAAGAAGTAAACCATTCCAATTTAAATATACAAACAATTAATAACGTCACCATGCCCCCACCCCCGCTCACCGTGCAATACAAAGAAGCCAACGGCAGTAAAATCACCACCGACATCTACCTCCCCCCGGCACCCACCACAACTACTACTGAAAATGACACGCCGAAGAAATATCCCGTTTGTACGTCTAACTCCACCACTGCAACTACTAGATATATCAAGTTACTAAAAAGCTTCACAGTGATCAACATCCACGGCGGCGTCTTCATGCTCGGCCACTCGCGCATGGTCTCCATGCCCCAAGTCGACGACTGCCTCGCCCGGAACTGGATCGTCGTGGTACCCAACCATCGCCTCTGTCCGCAGGTGAATATGCTCGAGGGGCCCATCACTGATATCCGGGACCTGTTGGCGTGGATCTACGATGGTCAGTTAGATGCGTTCCTTGCCGGCGCAGGTGCAGATGCAGCGGGGTATCGGGTCGATATGGATCGGGTTATGGCGTTTGGGACGTCGTCGGGAGGTACATTAGCATTGTCATTGGTAAGTTTTTCTCCTTTCCTAATCCTACCATACGCACATCCACAATGCTAATAATCTATATCAGGGCTACTCCGTCCCCCGCCCCGTCGCCGCAATCCTCGACTTCTACGGCGCCGTGCACTTTACCCACCCTTTCTGGACCCAACCTCTCCCAGACGTCCAACGCACCCTGCCCCCACTCGATCCTGCATTCTTGCATAAGATCTACGATGAATATCCCGTCCCTACGGACAGTTCTATCTCGCTGGAGGGCCAGACAGAGCTTGCTGGCGGTAGCAAGGCCAAGGGCCCGGATTTCTCCCGCCCCCGGGATGCATTCGCCCTAACGCAGGTAGCTAATGGGACGGTCTTGCAGGCTTGTTATCCTGATAGGGATGTGAGGGAGATTGATCCGGTGGTGCATGTGGGCAAGGGGTTTCCGCCGACGTTTATTGTGCATGGGGATTGTGATACGAAGGTTAGTATTGAGGTTAGTCGGGAGCTGTGGAGGGTGTTGAGGGAGAATGGGGTCGAGTGTGGGATGGTGGAGGTGCCCGGGGAGGATCATACGTTTGCGATGGGAATGCAGGTTGGAGGGAGGACGTGGGAGTTGCAGAGGCAGGGGGTTGAGTTTTTGGAGAGGGTTATTTCACGATAGTTTGTGGTTGGGGTTGTTGGGGTTGTTGTAATAATTTATAGGGGTTCATATAGATTTTCGATAAGAGTAAGAATCGAGACCAGTTCTTTTCTTATTGAGTCTTTTACCCGATTTGGTATTTGATTCATCTCGGGGATTGTCCGCGGTTTGTTGCAGAGTTTGAAAGTAGTAGGATGGCTATCAATGCTCAATACTTCTTTATCAGCTAGGCTGCAACGTATGCAATACTGGGATGACCGGTGTCCGCGGGATCCAGACACTCTAGGCTGATGCCAATCTTAGGCAAGCATTTTAAATCCTCTCGCTACTCGCTAGTATGGTTCTTCAGCTGGTTTCAGGATATAGATAGTAGTAGTAGGCCTGAATAGTCATCTTTTAGTCTAAGTCTAATTCTATACACGTGGTCGTCGGCCTCGACTAAATTAATGTGGATAGACATAAGGAGTCCTAATGAGCTTACAGTAAAAGCTTGACTGCAGACATGGATAAATTCATCAATCTATTTGTCATGATCTTCTGACAGCTGCAGTTTCATTGGAAGTATTCCGAAATTTCCGACATTCCGAACAAGACACCCCTTGGAAATCATTGAAGAAGAAGTTTGATCACTTTCTTGACTGGGAAAGTCGAAGGGGGAATTAAATTGACTGGATGGTTGCCTGACGCGTCTGACTCAGGCCTCCACCAGAGGTGGATCTTTTGGTTAAGCCCTATTTTCCTAATCTGGTCAGAGTCACGGGGATTACTATTTTGGGGCAACCAAGTCAACCAGTCAACCATCGCAACTTGTGCTCGGGCCCCAGCAACGAACAAGATGCCCACTTTTCCCCCCTCCATCGTCCGCGGTTGACTCGCTTCTCCTCCGTCCGGGCGTCTGTCCAGCTCATCCCAGTTTCAGCCCTACGGTGCCAGGGGCCAGTCCATCCTGGCTTTGAGTGGTTCATCCAAACCGGCCACTCCGTCCCCGTTGCTTCTCAGCCTCAGCCTTCCTCCAATCCCCTCTTCCATCTCGGACAACTAACCACCTTCATCCACGCTTGCTGGGCTAATTTCCTGGCTAAGGAATTTCCCTCAAATCACCGGCCGGGTCCCGCTGCAGCCTTACGGCTCCCAAGGTCCTCCCCGGAGAACCGCACCGACACTGAACTCGCTCCCAGCGGCCCACGGCACGGAGAAGCAATTTCCAATAGCGAATCCTCTATAGCGGAACCCACCAGCTGGATTGGCTTCCCCTCCTCCCCTTCTCTGCTACAGCCTCTACACGAGGTCCAGCTCACCAATAATGTCCACCTGACTGGTCTTCTGCAAGTCTGCATCCTCTGCCTCCCATGCCTTTCAGGGGTCCCGGGGAGCCTTTAACGGCGCCCTTCTAGTGGGTAAACGGTGCCCGGTAACCCCTCAGTAAAGCAGGGAAAGCGTCGGAATCAGCTGTCATGGATGGGCGTGGCCTAGTTCTGCACTACTCGGCCTTCAGCCCGACAAGCGTCCCCCACTGATCGACTCCGGTTTGCCCTACGAGTATTGCGAAATCCGAAATAGACCAATCTGCTATGGGTTGACGTTTGCCCGGCAGGATGGGTCCTCCTCATTTCCCTCTTTTTTCCTATTCCCTCTTTTCTTTTTCCCCTCCATTCTCTCCTCTTCCTTGATTGTCTACATTTTTGCTTTCTCGGTGGCCCTTTCCATCTCGCTCTCGCTCTCTCTCTCTCTCTCTCTCTCTCTCTCTCTCTCTCTCTCTCTCTCTCTTTTCTTCTTTCCCCCCTTTCCCCTTTCTCCCTCTTTACTCTTCCTGGTCGCTAGTCCTGTTCGTGATGGACCGAGTTCTTCCAGATTGTTCCCGAGCATAGAATTAAAGGGTTCCTTTGGGTTTCTTTTATGGATGCCTTGCATCGACCGTCTGCAGTCGCATTCAGCATCAAGGCGCCTTAGAATGACAAGCTCGCCAGTTCTAGATCCTTGGTATTGTCGTCACTTGGAACTTGGTTTCTATCATGGTCCTGGGTCGCCTGAATGGTCGGTGTTTTTATAATTGATTCCATCCGCGATCCACTCCCCACCTCCATCGCACTCACCACTTTACGCCTCGACCCTTCAGTCATTCCTTGACCACCACCCTCAGACCTGTCTCATTACCACGCGGGACGTTTGATCTTTTCAATTTGTGTCTTTTTTCTTTCTTTTTCATCTACCACCAATTCCATCTCATCGGTCGACCACTACCACAACCACGACCACGACCACCACATCATCATGTGTTATCTACTAGTGGAGCGATTTTCGGTGTGCAGATGTCTTTACTTTCAGCACGCGGTAGACCCGTGTGAAGCATACGGCCAGCGTGGCCATGTGGTGCAGGAGAAAATCGTCCTGGTCGGCTACACCTGTTCCCGACATTCATTGAGATGCAACGGAAACAACGCTCGAGACCCAACCCTGCCGGATTCAGGATACTCCAGCATCAAGGGTTAAACCCATCCACTCTGGGATAGCAAGAGGCAGCAGTCGCGGGACGTCTGCCTCAACCGTCGTTCGATTTCATTCCTGTTTGATGCATGCTCAGTTCGATTCGATTTTGGCCTGGCCGGTTCGCCAAAACTCTTGCTAGATATATGCTTTTGTTATTGTCAACGCTGTGGGGCTGCGCTCTCGTCACCGTTTTCTTTATAATGCTGTGTGTGCGCGTGTTCAGTCAGCCTATTCTGCATAGCGTTGCGTTGTGTTGCGTCGCAGGATCCCCAGTCACGATGAGACGAGAAACGTGCGACGATCGACTGGGTGGAGAGTTTTGTCTTGTTAAACTATGGTAATAGAGGAGGATTTGATTGAGAAAAATGGGGGTCGTATCCGGGATACGCCAGTTGGGGGATACCAACATCTATCTATGCATTATCTAGCTGGCCTACCTACATTCGTTATCATTAATCATCTACTTTTTGCAGTAATATGGCCATGTACTTGAGTATGGAATATGATCTACCAATAGGAGATCCTTCTATTAGATGAGGGTTAAAGTTAAGCCATGCTGAATGACTTGTCCATTCGAATTGCAGATCCCAAGCATCAAAATTGCGGTGACCAAGCGGATACTTCATTTTCAAGTACCCTACCAAATCTCCACAGTCTATTTATTCAGGCCCATAACAACATGTAAGAAGGTGCCTTAATAGTCCCTACAGGTACCTACCTACTTCGACTCATCACCTGTATCCACAGCAGTAAACAACCAACAAAACATTTTCCAAAAACAGCATGATTGCCAAAACCATATGATATCTCCCCTACCAGCAATGCAATCAAGCGTTACGCATACTACGTAGTAATTAGTAACCACCACTAACTGTAGTCCCATGAATCATAAAAATCTACCGATTTTATTAAATGACCCTCGTCTGGACTTAGTTGATTTGATAGATACTGATTGTAGATAAAACGTGCTTAGTTAGTGCAATTAAGTATCCCAGTTTTAGTTGAGGAGTAAGTAACAGCAGAGTTTATGTCATTTATATTAGTAGTAGTTTTTATGGCGTATTGAATACTGATGAAACTTATCACCAATGGATTCTAATACTTATGGATTAAGTAAGTAAGTAAGGAACTAACTAACTTATATGAACTAAATGTGGATCTTTCTCTGTGGATTGGATAGGATTGGATTGGAATGGAAAGTATGCATGCATTCATTGCACCGTCGGTGAGTGAGGAATAGAAAAGAATGTATAATATAACTTTTAGTGGGATAATCATGGATGGCTTTGGCTTAGTATGGTGGTTTATGGGTTGTATCTATTGTTTTTTAATTTTCTTTGGTTATCATTAGTAGTATTAACTGTTGGGCAGGGTGCTTACTCTGCTACTGCTTTGTGTGTACTGTGTAGCTGCCTTATATTATTACACTACTACTTTGAACTCAATCCAGATTGGGTGAGGAAGAGAAAGGAAGGTAAGGGAGAGAGAAACCTCAAACTCTAATTGGCTTTGAAAAAGACCCAGTCACTGGAATAGGAAAAGTGTTATACTCATGCATGCTGCAAGCAGAGAGAACATAGTAGTATAGAATACAATAATACAGCACAACTACTCCGTTCCACTCCACTTCACTCCACTCAACTACATCCGATGTATTAAAATTTGACTTTTGCTTCTTGGCTTAATTCCTCTTCTTCTTCTTCATCATCAACAACAGAAGAAATCTAGATCGATCCAAGAGCTCCATAGCTCAATCCCTTCGCGAGACCGACCCGGAGAATACGGAGGATATCCTCGCCCGTTGCGTCCTCTGGTAGACCGGCACGCCAGTCCCAGCCGCGTTCGGTGGAGGTAGTGGGGGAGTCAGCGTCCGCGCGAGGGACGAGGACGCCGGAGCTGCCGACGGAGCCGGAGCCGGAACGAGTGCGGGCGGATTCGATGATGTCGTTGCCGATGAGGGAGAAGGTGCTTGATGCGGTGAGGGATGAGACGGACTTCTTGAGCATGGCGCGCGGGGAGGGAGGGAGGACAGAGGAGTCGGAGGTGTGGGCGCGCTTGCTGGAGTGGTATTGGATGAGCGTGGAGCGGAAGCATTCTTCGCATTGGGCGTAGACGCGCGGAGTCACGGTCTGGAGGTCCTCGATGGCGGAGAGAATGGTGAATTGTTGGGAGACGGAGAGGAGGGGAGTGGATTCTGCCGAGCGGATGGTTAGGATAAGATTCTTAGGAAAGGTACTAAGATAGGGATCTTACGGCCAATAAAGGGCAGGGCTTCGCCAAGCAATGTCAACAGTCCATCGACTTGGACGACAGCATCGCGATCCGGATCGTACAGACCACCGTAGATGCTGTCCGCCGCGCTGCCAATGACCGCCACCAAAGCCTGGGCCGCTGCTCGCCGTCTGGCTAGAGGCTTGAACCGAGGTCGCTGTCCTTCCTTAAGGTTGATCGCCTCGTCGCGAATCTCGTAGAAGCGACGCAGAGTCGCATATCCACTGAAATAGTACTGTAGAATAGTAGCAGCCTCTTCATCCGTATGCGCAATCGCCCCCAAGCCGAATTTGGGGTTCTTGATCAAAGCTTCAAGCTGCTCGTCCAGGTCGGAGGATTCAGGGAAGGCGCGGGACTGAACAAGACTGTATGAGATGAGCAGGTCGACGATAGACTTGACCTTGCGTCGGTCGTGTGCGCGCGCATAGCACAGAAGGGCAAGCCCATATTCTTGGGAGGTTGCAACGATATTATCACCATAGCGCTGAGCAGGTTAGCTGACGTTCATATAGTACCAGTAAATGACGACCTACCTCAGCGACCTTCCTTCCGTGTT